AGATGAGTGGATAAAAAAGCTGTGGTACATTTACCCAAGGGAGTACTACAGCCATGAAAAAGAAGGAATCTTACCTTTTACGACAGCATGGATGGACCTGGAGAGTATTACGCTAAGTGAAATACGCCAGTCAGAGAAAGACAAGTACCACATGATTTCACTCATATGTGGACCCTAATGAACAAAATAAACTAACAAACAAAATAGAAAACAGACTTGCAGGTACGGAGCATAGACTGAGAGCGGTCAGAGGGAGAGAGGTTAGATGAAAGAGGTGAAGGTATGAAGGGGAAAAAAGAGAAAGGAAAGAAAGAAAAGAAAAAGTAGGACTTAAATTTTTTGAATACCTATTATCTACCAGGCAGTTCTTTTAGGTGCTTTACTAACATTATTTCATTTAGTCTTTTCTTCATACTAACCCTACAAGGTTGGTATCATTAGTCCATTTTACAGATAAGAAAGTTTCACAAACAGGTAATTATCATATGATGATCACTTTGGGATCCAAACTCAGGAGTGCCCTACTTTAATTGAATCATAGAGTTGTGGCAAACCAACCCAAATTCCTCTCTTCTTTAGCCATCTACTTTGGAGTCTTATTATTCCTTGCCACTCTCTGTGAATGGCATCAGGATTCAAACACAGGAGCAACTGACTCTAGTATTTCTGTTCTTTTCAGGACACCTCACCCTTACATTATCCAAGAAATTATTATTCTTTCTGTTCCTCAGCCACAGTCAATATAAAAACCACAGAGTATACGCCAAACTACTTCCCTCTTCCTGCCTAGGTTTTCATTCCATTTTCTCATCATAATTAATGTGTGTGCCTACTGCCACCTGCTGGCAGCCTGGCAATCCTGATGTTCCTTTGCAAACCCCTCTATATGATGGAAAAGCCATCTGACAACAACAACAACAAAAAGGCAAGAAGCTTAATGCAGACAACCAGCTGGTAAGCCTTCCCAGAAGCTGGTAAGCTTAAAAGGGAGGACTAATTCCCATCCACCTCTCTTGGGGACACATCCTTTCTTCTTCCAAGTCACTTGTGGTTTTCACCAGATTTCACCTGTCCCTAGGCACCGAGAGAAAGAACAAATTCTGTCATCCAGACCATCTAAATGTGAATGACGGTCTCTTGCTAAATTGGGGTAGTCCATGACCCCAGCACATAACACTGACCACTGTGCTGACAACCAACAAGCAGGTAAAATCATTATGACAGGGCCTTGATTAAGAAGAACCTGAGATAGAGGCAAAGCTGAGGTTGGCCTCCTTACAGAAGGTGGGGCCCAGGGCAGTCAGGACACGAGTATCCTGGTCCTTTACTCTGGGCAGCCAGGACCACCAGGGGAACCCATCCCCTTTGTCAAGGACACCCATCTATAACACACACACACACACACACACACACACACACACATTCTACAGAACATAATGACTTGTGTTCTGGGTGGATTCTTAGATTTTTGTTTCTCGTTGTTTTCCCCTCCTTGACAAAGTGGGGAAAACCCCTTCCCGGGGGTGGGGAAGCATATTTCTGACTGTTGGGAAAAAGAGAAAGCAGGAATTGTTGTCACAACAATTAGGAGCTCATCAAAGCCTCATTTTGCTCTTCAGCCATCATTGCCCTCCGTCCTGCACCCCCGCATGTTCCTCTAATTCAATGCCTGCCTAATGAATAACTCCTAGGAACAAAAGACCCTTTCAGGCGGGAGCACATAATCATTAGAGGAGACTTGCTTAACTGTCGCAGACTACTCATGTTTTCAAGCCTGTCTCTAAATTTGGTTATTCACAACCTTTATAGCTCCATATTATTGCCTAACTGTGATCATTTTCTAATTATCCTAATAATACCTATTAAATAATTCCCATTACATTACTTAAACCAGACCAACACAGGCCAGCTCAAATACAACTTAACCTAATAAGCATCGGCCATTCATTAAGCACCAGGGCAATCTCTTAAAGGGGCTGAATAGAATATTAAACTGTAAAGAAACATTATTATTGCACAAATGTTATTACAAGTTAAGGGTGTATTAATTTTGATGCCTGGTCTGCAAATCTCCCATATGGCATCCTGTGGGGCTGCGCTCCCTGCCTTAACTCCTTTAGTCTTTAGCTCCTGGTTGGTTTGCATCTGTCACCCACACAAAGACAATCAAGGAGGAAAAGGCCCATAAACTTAACATGGGGATTAAATTACCAAAGATATCAAGAGAAGGAATGGAATCCATCTTCTGGCCAGGTTAGCATACCTTGGACAACACCACAAGCATCAGGGTTTCTTTAGCTGATAACTCGAAATGGGGAGATGTTCAGAAGTGTGAAAATATTGGTTTCTAGAATATAAATCTCAAGCAGTGACGAATAGAGAGTGAGTTCTTTAAAAGTGTATGTATGTGGCCCTAACCAGTTTGGCTCAGTGGATAGAGCATCGGCTTGCAGACTCAAGGGTCCCAGGTTTGATTCCAGGCAAGGGCATGTACCTGGGTTGCGGGCACATCCCCAGTGGGGGGTGTGCAGGAGGCGGCTGGTTGATGTTTCTCCCTCGTCGATGTTTCGTCGATGTTTCTAACTCTCTATCTCTCCCCCTTCCTCTCTGTAAAAAAATCAATAAAATATATATTTTAAAAAGTGTATGTATGTGGATACCAATATTTTGTAAAGTAATGTGAAGTAGCATGTGTTGCCCACACTCTGGGAGACACTTTGCCCACCAAGGCCCTTAATTCTCAAAATGACCTGGTAATGTGGAGACTATTAGCTCCGTTTTTCACATAAGCCGTATGGGACCAGAGGGGTTAAGTGATTTTCCTAGGACTACACAACCTAAATGCAATGGAACAGAATTTGAACCCTGTGCTCTCTGATGCCTATAATTCTCCCTGCCCCGCCATGCCACAGTGCCTCCCCAGCAAACGGAAGCATGCCCTAGCTTTGCTGGTTTGTCTTGTTTATTCCTAGGGCTCTCACTGAAATCAGTGGATTCCTAAAGAAAAGCACCAGATAGGCAGTGACTCTCACTCCAAGCAGCAGGAAATGGGTATCATTTGGGTAATGAAACCTACTTCTGATGAGTGGATTCAGGTTTCCTTTACAAGGACATGCATAGTGTATTTTAGTAAGAACAGGGACAAATATTTATTAATCAATTATGCCATCCATCCCATAGTCAGGCCCTATGCTAGGGCTTCCACATTAATTGTTTTAGCCGACCCTCACCACAAACCCAAGAAACAGATAGAAGTATCACTCTTACTTTACAAACAAGGAAACGGAGGCACAGAGGGGTTAAACTCTGACTCCAGCGTTTCCCTGTTAACCAAAGACATGTGAGCCATACAGTTAATACTAAAGCTGGAACCCAGGGCCCCTCACTTGGATGGGGGAGCAGCCCTTACAATTTTGCGGGTCTGACTTTGTATGAGCTTCAGGCATCACAAAATCTGGGTCTGCCCTTGCTAGTATCATCACTCTCAAATAACTGAAGTTTTAAGAGAATTGAAACCCTAACCTTTCACTATGTTGTTTAACCAGTAACACATTTTCATGGTTACAGAGAGAGAGATGTGCTTCCAACGTTTGGTTTTTCACACTTTATATCCAAAATATAAAAGGCTAAAGACATCATGTCACAAAGCTAGAGAGACAATACTTCCCACAAACCCTAAAGACCCCTCCCCCCCGCCCCCCCGCCCAATTTACAACCCACATAGATGCTGGGTGGTTTTATATCTCACTAGAGGCCCGGCATAGGAAATACGTGCACTTTTGTGTGTGTGTGTGCCGCCCAATTCACTACCCACATAGATGCTGGGTGGTTTTGAAAAACAAGTGGATTTCTTTAAGTCATCCCTCACCCCAGAACCCTTCCCGGCCCCTCTTTCATTAAGGCATTTCACGTCTTCACACATCTGGCCTTTGCAGGTGCTGCTCCCTCTGCCAGAACAGTCTCCTCGCCTCACTGGTTAACTCCTTCCTCCTCTGGTTCTCATCTTGACAGGCCACCCCTCCCGGGAAGCCTAGCCTGACCGTCCCTCTCCCAGGATCAGTTAGGAACCTCTTGCTCCTGTGCCCACGCACCCTGATGCTTGTCCCTAACACAGCACTGGTCCTCCTGTATTGTGGTTTATTTCTCTACAGATCTGTGTCCTTCAGTGGACTGTAAAGCTCTCAAAGGCAGAAACTATGTCATAGTCATCATTATAGACCCACTGTCCTCATGTCCAGCAATAACAGGGCTTCACCAGATGAATTCTGTTCGGATCTGAGAGAGTGAAGCTATCGGTAGAATAGTTACCATTTAGTGCTTTACCTGTGTCAGGCAGTGTGCTAATTTTTATATATACATACATGCATACACATTTACATATATATGTAAATGTGTATGTATGTATATGTGTGTATAAATGTAAATGTATGTGTCTATACATACATAAATGTATATATACACATATATACAGAGAGATATTTATACATATCCATATACATGAATATATGTAAAATTTCTTCTTTAATGCTTACATCAGCTCTATAAGGTTGGAAACCACTATTATCTCCATTTTAGAGGAGAGATTTAAATTGTAAAGATTTAAAATGTGGCTGGTCTAAGGTCATACAGTGAGTAAAGGGAGAAACCAGGATTTTTACCAAAGTCCAGGCTTTGAATCACTACCACCATTGCTTGAATGCCCAAACAGTTCTCCTGAATCTATGCTAACCCCTGAATTGCAAAGAACATTCACAGTAGCAGATAACTGGGCAGAGCAGAAACCCAGAGACAAGGCCCACAGGCCTACCAGTGCCCCTAGGAATTTCCAACAGTCAGGCTGACAATGAAAGTGTGAAGCAGCTGAAGATTTCATGTTTTGTCGATACTGGCAGATCCAGAGGATGACAAGTCTCCCTGTTTTATCTGGATGGTGAGGCCAGCACTGTTCTCAGACCACAGCCACGATGGGGCTGCTGCTGTGGATGTGATGGGATGCCTACCTGCTTCTCCTCTCAGTGCCTTCTCCAGCCTCACGCCCTGGATCTCGGAGGCCCTCTGCCGCTCCTCCACCTCCTCCAGCTGCCTCTGGATGGCCTGCAATGCCAGGGGTTTACGTCACAGGGGACCCTCACACAGAGTCACAAGAGGGGCCAATCCTGCCACTGCCTTTCCGAGAAGAAGAGGCCCTTCCCCATGTGATGTCACCTCCTTGATTAACTGGGTCAGGACATCCGAATTCCCAAACAACTAGAACTTGACATTTCCCTTCTGTAGCATGAAGACATAAAGTGAGGAGTCTGTGTGTCAGCTCACTTTGCCCCCAAGTAGATGCTAAAATAGTCCCCCTTGACCAGCTAATCACACAGATGCACGCTCAGGCAGAGGCTGCTGGGCCAGGTGGGCAGTCCTCCCGGCTCCTGCACTCCTTGGAGCCTCAGTCTCTGACTATGGCCACGAAGAACCATGACTCTGAGTAGGACAGGGGCTCTGGGGGCAAACACAGAGCACGCTCACAGTCCACTTTCCCGAGAAGAACCGGCAGGTCCTTCCAAGATATTGGTCTGGAGCAGGAGACCTGGGCCAACTCCTGGGTATGGAGTTCCTTTCTCCGTGCACCTGGCTCCAGTCCTCAGCTACAGACTGTACCTACTCCTTCACTGCCCTGCGGGGCCGGGTCTATGCCCGGGCCTTTTACTGTGGAAGTGTATGGTAGCTTTGTTACCAGCAGGTTATTGAGACACCAGATGTTTATCCTGCTAAGGCAGTGGTTGGCAAACTGTGGCTCGCGA